CTCTTACGTTTATACGTTTATTTTATATAGTTTATTATTTAACAAATATAAAACATTTTCCGTGTTGATATACAGTTATATCAACACGAGTGGAAATTGGTAAAACGAGAAATTGTGTGGAAACACGACGCCCGCCCGAAGGGCGGAGTGTTTTCACAGAATTTCGAGTTTTTCCAACTTCCACGAGTGTTGATATAACTATATATCAATACGGAAAAAATGTTTTATATTTGTTTTATAATATAGCAACGTCAAAAGCCCGAAGAATAAGAAAAATTTCTGTGTTAACAAGCAGCGGAAAATTGTTAAATCCCCGCGTGGCGTTAAATCCCCGCTATTTTTCCCCGGCAAATTATATTTTCGTTAAATACCCGGTATCCCCGGGAAATTGTAGCGTTAAATCACGGCCCTGACAGCGTTAATTCCCCGCTATGCCGCGGGGGTCGGGGGGCCGTAGTTTCAATTGACTAGTGCATAATGAACACGTACATGATTTGTTATTAAATATTGTACGGTTTGACAAAACAGAAAGCAACCACTTATGCAAATGATTCATGTAATTTCTGAAATAAACCCTAACGAGATTTAGTTAGAATGTCTTTTTTAGGCCATATAAAATAAATTCCTTGATTCTCACTGTCATCGCCCGCCGATATTTTGGTTTCCGCGTTGATATATTTTTGTATTTTGTTATAAAATATAAATTTACCGCCCGACCGAGCATCTTCAGAGATCTAGTTATTTTTATATTTTATATTGGAATTTTTGCGGTATAAAATTGTTTTACCGTTAATATTGCAACATGTTAAGGGATGCTTGGAATACTGAAGGAAAAAATGGGCTTATAGCCTTTATATTACAACGATTTGTGTGGACCCTTATGCATGTTCATTAGCGCATGTGCAATTATCCACTTATACAGCGCTCTTCTATAATATATTTAAGGGCAAATATAAAAAGACCTCCCTCTCCAATTTTTTAAATTTTAAACATTTTTTTTATATTTTGACATAAAATATAAACCTCCCGCCTCCTGGGAGTTTTTAAAATTTAGCGATGAGAATCAAGGAATTTATTTTATATGGCCTTAGTTGAATTTGAACATTTAAACCCCGTTTGCCGCTTCACCGTTTTGCTCGCAGTCGACAAAATTTTGTCCCGCCACCGCAATTGCTGAAAATTTTCAATCTGGAAGAGCATGGCTACAACTCCTACAACGGCCAAACGAGGAAATAATAAGGAAATAATACAACTATACAATGCCTCGCCCGCGCGCAGGCAGGCAACCATAACATTGGGCTGCCCATGATTATGTAAACAATATCACTGAGTTGTCAAAACTAAGATCGTATGTGTCTGTCTTGAGCACACACACACTTAGAATTCAAGACTAACTGTCCCATTTTAGTCGTTCAAGGTGAACTGGTGAATTTCTGTTGATTGTCAGTGGCAATTATACACTTTTTCAGAGCTGTGGACGTTCTATGGTATTGGCGGCTGGTACTAAGTGAAAATATATAGTACAGTTTCGCATGAAATCTCATTCTTTACAAAATACTAGCCGCAGATATCCTTTCAGTTATAGGCTATTCAAACCTTGCTGTTTTAAGTTATCGTTACTATATTTTTCAGTTTTGTCCCAGTAACGGAAAATTTGACGACAAACTGAGGCTATTTTATTTACTTTCACGCGGCAGGTCCGGGCATATTGTAAACACTGGACTGGACTTTGGACTGGACTTTGGACTTTGGACTATGAACTTTGGACTTTGGACTTTCGATTTTGAAATTATATTATTTTTTAGATTTTCGTATAATTATATTAAAATCTAAACAGAGAACGAACATTTGCTGCTGAAAAGCGTGCTATACTGCATGCACATGCATGATATAATAATATACAAGGTAAAAAATCTCTAGTATCAGTTATAGGTATACCAGCAGTGCAATTTCATACGGATATAGCTTGTAGGACAGCAGGATTTATCCAATATTTTGGGATTTAATATTTAAATTTTATATAATATTTGTATTTATAGTATGCATAGTACAGTGTATACTGCAGAACTTCTTCTTTATCATATAGATAATAGATTAATTGTCAGAAACAATTGTGACAAAAGTGTCTCGGCAAATACAAAATATTAACTATACAAGTGATTATTATCGCGCCTACTGAGTATTGAGTATTGTGACTGTTCATCTTTGCATATTAAAATAGTTTATACTAGTACTGTATTGTGTAATTGTTTACTCCGTTACCGACAGTAACGTTTTGTTGATGTTACTTATTTCATTTGAAAGACATTCTAGTTAGCTATCCTTATCACTATAAGACTAAGTGCTCCAGTTATTATTAATAATTAAGTGTTAGTAGATGGACAAGTATATTCGACTAAAGTTTTAATTATCTGCGTTACGCAGTTTAGCAGATAATTTATATCTAATTGTTTGATATGCAGAATAATGTTCTGATATGAATACATAACTATGTTACATTGTTATGCAATAGTATAAAAGGCGTATACACGCCTTGATTATTCCTCGCTGCTTACACGTTCTTCAGTCAAACATGTCTCATCCCGAGCTCTCGGGCAAAGATATGAAAGAATTCATGGAGAAGTCGTTAACACAAATGTGCCAACAGCTTACCAATGTTGTCGACGATCGGTTTGCTCACTTGAAGAGAGAATTGTCTGCTGATAATTCAGCGACGCTAGACGCCTTTGCGAACAAGAAGGCTCGCTTAGAGAAACCTCGATTTAAGTTAAAGGGCAATGAGCAGCAATATAATCACCAGCTTGGTGTGCTGGACACAGTGGAAAGTGCTACCACAGCTCTCGAGCATCAAGACATCCATAAAGCTATCAGTTTCCTACAAGAAGGTAAAGTAGCCATACTGTAGTAGCAAGAATGAAGCTTATCAAATTAGCTGATACGAGCGACCATGGTTGGCAAACCGTAGCTGAATATATGACTAACGAGCTAGCCGATAACTCAGATGACGAGAAACGGATCGACCGCGCAGAGAAAACTGCTGAAAAGAAGCCGAAGAAGGCCAAGGCATCCAAAACATCAAAGTCTCGGCCGTTTCCTGGCTATCCAAACCGCATCCCATATCGTAATTCTATGCCCTCACGTCGACCAGTGTTCCCTGACCACAATGGTCCACGCGGGAATGCAATTGGGCCTTGTTATAAGTTAAGTGGTACATCCATGTATATAGCATTGTGTTTTGCTTTAGAGTCACAACACTATAGGTCGACAGCCGTCATACGACTGCTTTGTTCTTACCTCGAGCGTTTAAGCAGCAATAAACACAAAGTGCTTCAAGCAACATGTTGCTGTACGTGTGTGTGTTTATTCGATATAATTATATTAGATGTTTTAACTATCTGCGTTACGCAATTAAGCAGATAATTTATATATATCTAATGGTTTGATATTCAGAATAATGTTCTGCTATGAATACATAACTATGTTACATTGTTATGCAATAGTATAAAAGGCGTATACAAGACTTGATTATTCCTCACTGCTTACACGTTCTTCAGTCAAACTGAATTTCTATTTATTATATTAATGTTGATGGTCATATATGTTATTCTATTATTTACAGTGTTTACAGTAGAAGTTGCATGATCTGCAGTGTGAGGAGGAAGATCAGGTTGGATTATTCCTTTTTAGTTCTAATAGTGACGATGTGCATGGAGTTTTTGTAGTGATAGTGTGCGTGGGGGGCTTTACAGGTGTTCAAATTACTGGCGTGATACACTTAACGCCTCCCAGTTTGTGCAAAGTATAGTGCAGGACGGTTATAAGATTCCATTTCGGTCCATTACAGAGACCAGTTTTTTAGCTAACAATAAATCTGCCAGGGATCATCCTGACTTTGTCTCAGAAGCAATTGTTAAATTACTGAAAGGTCGATACATTGAGGAGCAATCAGAACCACCCTATTGCGTTAATCCTTTGTCTGTTGCTAAAGGAAAGAAATTACGTTTAGTTCTTGATCTCCGCAACATTAACGGGCATTTGCTCAAGCAATCATTTCCATATGAGGATCTTCGATCATTATCTCAATTATTTGAACAGAACTTTTGGTTTTTCACATGGGATCTTAAATCCGGTTATCATCATGTTGATATTTATGTCGCACCCAGAAAATTTCTAGGATTTTCGTGGAATTTTAACGGGAAGTTGAGATATTTTATTTTCTGTGTTTTACCTTTTGGCCTAAGTTCAGCTTGTTATTGTTTTACCAAATTACTTAGGCCGTTAGTGAAACGATGGCGTATGATGTCCTACGCCTCTTTTGTCTATTTAGACGACGGTATTTCCGGTCATAAACGTCGTATTGATGCTTCTGCGGCCAGTATTATTCAAAAGAAAGATTTATCGTGTTCCGGTCTTAAAACGAATGAGGAAAAATGTCATTGGGAGCCCATATAAATCGGAGAATGGCTTGGTATGATTATTAACGCCATCAATTTTGAATTCGAAATTCCGCCTCGCAAAATCGAGAAAGTTAAGAAAAACATTCAGTACATTTTGTCTTCCAATCACGTTTCATATCGAGAACTGGCAAAAATCGCCGGTTTCATCAATTCATTGTATTTAGCTGTCGGTCCACCTGTGAGGCTTTTTTCGCGGCAACTCTTTTTCATAATTTCTCAGAGAGATTCATGGGCAGGGCATTTGGATAGCGTCCCACATCTTTTTGATGGAGGAATTGAGATTTTGGTTAGACAATTTACGTTATCTAAACGGGTATAACATTCGGCCAAAAGTGTCTTTAGAACCTTTAACAATCCACACTGACGCTAGTGGCGTTGGTTATGGTGGTTATTTTACCTCGTTGAGGGATGTAAATATACACGGACATTGGTCCGTTGAGCAAAGTGGTAAGAGTTCCACGTTCCGGGAGTTATCGGCTATCCTACTAGTTTTGAAAACTTCTGTGCAACGTTTACAGCATAAAAAGGTGAAAATATTTTCAGATAGCCAGAGCGCCTGTCGCATCGTTCAAGTCGGGAGTAGAATTTTCGAACTCCAAAATATTGCAGTAGACATTTTCAACATTTGTTTCATTAACGACATTATGATTGAAACACAATGGATTCCTCGAGCAGAAAACAGGACTGCCGATGTGTTAAGCAAAACCATTGATTTAGATGATTGGAAGTTACACCCAGAATTATTTGTTATGCTTCATAGAGCATGGGGTCCTTTTACTATTGATAGGTTCGCCGCTAATTACAATACACAATTACAAAGATTCAATTCACGATTTTGGTGTCCTGAAACAGAGGCTGTTGACGCATTTACTAAAAATTGGTCAAACGAAGCGAACTGGGTCTGTTCGCCAGTGGCTTTAATCATTCCCGTCATTAGACACATGTCCGTGTGTAAGGCCAAAGGTACCTTTATAGTTCCTCGTTGGCCGTCCGCTATTTTTTGGCCAGCCATTAAAACCAAACCTGGAAAGTTTGCTCCATTTGTTAAGGACAGTTTAGTTTTACTAAAAAAAAAAAAAAAAATAGCACAGATGTGCATTCCTGGTGAAGGGCAATTGATAGCCTATCAAAAGAAACCGTCCGTTTTTACGGGAACACCAAGTTTTGACTTACTGGCTTTACGGGTAGAGTTTTAAAGCATGATGATTAGGCTTGGTCTTTAGCACCGTGTCTTTTTGACAAATTGTGGCGTTTCAAAGCATTTTATTTATTTTTTATCCTCATGTCTTTTCGACTGATTCGCTCCATTTCTGGTGTGATTGTTCTGTTTAATAGCACTTTGCTACAGTATTTGGTTTATTTGCTGATAACGCAACTAATGTGTTGATTTTCAAACACTTCAAGTTTGCATTTTTTCAGGGGTTTTGGCCACCAAATTTTGGTTACAAAGTCATCTCATCGGTCATTCGACCTGTTCATGTAAAAATTAAATTTTACATTTGCCTTTTAACGGCTAGATACATTTTCGTAAAAAATTAATTTTTATTTAATTAATGCAGTCTTTTAGTGCTGTCATATCGTCGTGTGACGAATGTAGTCTTCGAAGTTTATATTCTATTATGATTTACTTATTTCTATTTAGATGAGTTTAAAATTGGAGTGTGGGAGGATTTCTCCAAAATACAGGATCCTTCGCTTGTATCGTTGGCTTCCTCGCTTTCTCGGGTTGTGTTAAATGCAAAGGATCGAAATACGACAGTCCGCTATGCTTACGGATGGAACAGATGGAAGATCTGGTCCATGTCTAAGATTGGTGTTTGGTACCTTCCTGCTCAGCCTATGTTCGTGGCGTTATATCTGCGTCAATTCCTAGATTCCGCCAAGACAACTTCACCTGTGGATACTGCTGTGTATAGCATTCGTTGGGGGCATATTTTGGCCGCTTACCCTACCCGACAGAGCAACCGTTGGTTCAATCTACCTACGAAGGCTGCCGACGAATTCTCTCTCGACCAAGAGAACCTAAAGATCCTGTCCCACCTTACATGTTAGAAACGTTAATTCAGAAACACGGGCGTAATCGCGCATCTCCGGCCGATCTACGTCTCCTATTTGAGATATCATCAAAGAGAATTTGGGCGTATTTTACGAGGATTTGAGAAAGTTGGGAACTCACAGCTTAAGGAGTGGTGGTGTATCCGATCCAGGTTGCCACGATTTGTCCGACCTGTCAATGCAGAGTCATGGAGGATGGAAGTCGGTACAGTCGAAGAATAAGTACATTAAACCATCGGCAAGCATGCAATTCGAGGTGTCTAAAAACTTGTCTATTTAGGCGAATGCGTAAAATACGAACGTGAACATTTATACATTGTAGTGAAGAACGGTTTTCCCAGGAGTGTGTTTTAGATTATCGTATTAATAATCTGTAAAGGAATTGATAACACGAATGTTATTGAGTGACAATATTCAAGAGAACTTTTAAATACTCCGCCCTGTTTTATGCAGGTTGGGTTTTTCATCTTCACACCAAGATCTTAAAGGTTCAGATCTTGGAATAAGTAGAGTATATTTATTCTTTACTATGTAAGAGCATTTAGCTCGAGCGTTTAAGCAGCAATAAACACAAAGTGCTTCAAGCAACATGTTGATGTGTGTGTGTGTGTTTATTCGATATAATTATATTAGATGGAAATTTACACACTTTTTAAGACCTACTCAGTTGTGTGTGAGAAGGCAAAAATCTATGTCAATGTGCTTCAGGTATTCTAGCAAATATTTGCCACGTTTACTCAGTAATACTACCACTTGCAAGTGATGAACCAGGCGGGAATCGCAATCGTAGTATAAAGATTAATGCTCAGCCGCATAACGTACGCAAAAGAGCCATATATAGACAATAATAAATATATACATAAAGTAATACTAATTACTATAGATTATCATAAAGTAATCAGTACTACCAATTATATAATAATGTATCATACATTCGTATTTTATAAAGTATGATGACTATGAGAGTTTTCGTGTTCACTCTGGCTGAATACATTTATGAAAAGCTAAAACTGACACAGACAAAATACATTGTAAACACAGCCTATTTAGGCAGGCGCTAAACCGGTGTAAACTATTATGCAAAGATGAACAATACCGTCATTAGTATTTTTGCGCAAGTGAATAAATAGTACAACAAATCCTACAAGTTGTCAAGTTGATTGGTCAAATTTGACAAATTCCCTAGCCTCCTTCGCAGACATCAGAGAAAACATACACAACTGGCGCCTGCGAGGGAGACTACAAATTCCCGGATAATCACGGCCTCGCCTTCGGCGAATAATTGTTCAAAGCCAAAGGCGCAATAATAATAGCGTGTAGTTTATACTTATACGTGATAGTTTCTCAATATTTTGTATTTGCCAAGCTACTTTTGTCGCAATTGTTTCTATAAATCTATTATATATACGATGAAGAAGTTCTGCAGTATAAACTGTACTATACATACTATAAATACAAATATTATAATAAAATTATTAACTTAAATATTAACTTAAAAATATTACTGAGATGATCCTGTTATCCCACAGGCTATATCTAAGAAATTGCACTGGTATACCTATATAACTGACAGTATTTTTTACCTTGAATATTGTATCATGCACAAATTTTCGTTCTCTGTTTAGATTTTAATTAATATAATTATACGAATATTTTAAAAATATAATTTCAAAATCGAAAGTCCAAAGTCCATAGTCCAAAGTCCAAAGTCCATAGTCCAAAGTCCAAAGTCCATAGTTCAAAGTCCAGTCCAGTGTTTACAATATGCCGGCAGGTCCGAGAGTACCCCTTTGTAATGAGGCTTGTCGCTAACTTTGAGAAAAACAGTCACGACAAATTTTTCTTTCTTTAAAACATCACAGATAACTGTAAACATCGACTGAATATTTCTAGAAAATAGTGAATTTTTTTCTCTGTGGGAGGCCTCAAACACGATCTATAAATAGAGTCTCACGACGGCGAATTTCACGTTTTACAGTTCACTGGCGAAAAATCGCGTAAAAATCAGAGGATTCAAAAAATTTAAACAAACTAAATCCGTTTCGGACATAGCCATTCCAAGTACTGTTCCTAAACAAAACATAAGAGCAACTCAATTTTAAACCGAAAATCGAGTGACCGGATTTTACAGACACAGCCTCTTAAGTTAGTTTTGAGCTTACTGTCAGTTACGATGGATTAGGAGCTCACGAGATTGTATTTCAATTGGGGTGCGTTGTTAATTTGGAAAGATGAGGCCGTTTTTTATATATTGTCAAATGAAGGAGCAAGTCAGCATTTATACTACTGATAAGTATACTAGTTATTAATTAATGCAATAGGGGTGGACAGTACCAAGTTTGGAAACGAGGCGCATTTTGTGTCTTACGGCTATCTTTGATTCCAGACAGGGTCCATACCTGAAACACTGTGATTGCCAGTGTTAAAATGTAGTAGTTGCTGCCGACCGAAGGGAGGAAGTACACTATTCTTGACGCTTTACTATCCCCATGCATTCGTGCCAGTCCCTTTGCCCGAGCTATATAAAGCCAGCAAGAATCTCGATTTGCAACTCGATTCGGATGGATGTCTGGATGTTAGTTGCATTGCGCAATCTATGTAAACGTCAAGTGCGCGTGTCAAAAGCTCAAGATTACGAGTTGTCATGGTTTGCATGGCCATGATGGATTTTATACAATGGGATTTATACGACTTTCAAAGATAAAATTCAGTCAGGTAAATGGCTTTCTTCCTTTCTGCTAACCATTAAATTGTACATCAAAGCGTTGATCTTTGTCCTGTTCAATCTAGAGGCAAGTAATTTGCTTTCATGAGTTTATAAAGCTCTGAATAAACGCTTATAAATTGTCTTTAATGACCCAGATGTTGATTTTGTCTGTAGAGTGTAGATATTAAACTTAGCGAACGCTGCTAGTGTTTCAGGCTGTACAAATCTATTTTATCGAATACAATATTGTACACAGTTAAAATTATCACTCGTGCAGTTTGTCAACAAGATATACAGGTATTCTCAACAGGCATGCATGTACCACTGAATTGTTGATCTCCATGGTTGATCTCGTCTTGTGGTCTGTACTAGCGCGCTTGCCAACACGTGGAAGAAGCTCAAACAGTAGAGGGTTACATCTCAATATTTTGCCATAACGACAGCAACAGGATGCCTACTTTCAACCATCTTTGTCATTATATTTAATAAACCCATTCTCTGTTTTGTAGGTATTTCCGGGATGCAGTTTGCGAATGTCACATATGTTTGTTACATATATGACAACTGCCAAATGAGGCCACTTGGAAAGATAATTTAACCACAATACAGGGAGAATCAAATACTAACACACAGACTGCATATACTTATGCATTGAACCATGCAATTAATAAGTTGTTTTTTGTAGATTGAAAAACTGTGTATCATCCACATCAACAGTGACATGTGAATGGAATTATTTAGACCAGTGAAATTATGCGTTACTAGAGAAAATTCTGTATTTTGAAATGACATTTTGTGTTTGCCAATTGTGTAATCTGTATGCTGGCTCCAAATTTATTTGTAATAAGTAGGAATCAATTACGTGACAAAGCTAGCTGCCAAGTCTCATGGTTTACCAATGAGTCTCCTGATTTTGGGGCTGAACTCCATGTCGCAGAGGTGGACTTACAAATCTCATGATATTTCAGGAAAATTGTTCATGTTGAACAAATTCTGTATCTTTAAACGCAAGGAATATGATTGACAACACTGCACATTTTCTATTTTTTCTACTTCTCCTAAATTCGAGAAAAAAATGTTTCGGTAGCCGAAGTAGAGGCCAATAAACAAATATATGTTCCAAAAGTGTAACATTACTTTTTAGCACCTTCTAGCGCAGGAAGGCTAGCATAGTAATGGCCATAAAAAAACACATAATGGGGCCATGCCAATAAAATGCATGATCATGCTCAGCCTGTTCTGTTTATACTGGCTCCGCCTGCTAATAACCTCCAGGTTTTAATCATCTGAACTTGGCAGTTCTGAAATATCAACAGTACTGAAAATAAACATTTTATACATGTTCAATCTCGTTCCCAGAGTATGCCTGTTCGCGGGTTAGGTTGTGGCATGACTCTGGGGAAATCGAATCGGAATCGTTATTTGATTGGCTGCCGTGATCATCAATACTGCCGACACAATTAAGGCGTGTTTTTTTGCGAGAATTACGCGTGAAAATACGCGAAGAGACAATTATCAATGTTTTTCAAATTTGGAATGCGAAATCAAACGATATAAATCGAAGGATATAATATTAATCCTATGAAAAAGTACTGGGACGTTGGGTATATACTTACAAAATGGCATGGTATTTATGAATGACTTTTTATCGATCTACAGTATGAGTATATTCATTATATTAACTATGAAAGAATTGGCTAAATGAAATCATCGCACACGTTGTCGTTGTTTTGTTAAATTGACATATTGTTGCCAGGACTTTGGAGTGACAGCTTTTGCTTGTGTTAAAAACTTGAAGCTTTAAACAATACAGTACATTATGGTCAACACTCAACATGTTATAGTCTGTGGTGCTTTTGTAAATGGAGTTATCTATATAAAGTTAAGATGCCAGGTGTTTTTGTAGCATCTGTATAAATTATAGAATAATTGATTTAAGAAGTTCCTCAGGTTGTAAAACATTTGGTTATAGACTTGCTTTGTAAATGATTGCCACTTGACAGCATGATGGGCTATTCCATTTAATATTGGTACACCCCCTGTCGAGGATACATGTTTTTCATGGTTATACCCTTGAAGAATTCCAAACTCAAAACCTTTTACCCCTGAAGAATTCCAAGCTCAAAACCCTTTACCCCTGAAGAATTCCAAGCTCAAAACCCTTTACCCCAGATGAATTCCAAACTCGAAACACTTTACCCCTGAAGAATTCCAAGCTCAAAACACTTTACCGCTGAAGAATTCCAAGCTCAAAACCCTTTACCCCTGAAGAATTCCAGGGATCCTCGAC